GGGTGTCAGTGTCTCTCTTCTACTGAAGACCCCAAAGCTGGACCCCACTCCAGCTGTGGGCTTGCAAGTGCTAAAGAGAGGAGGAGCATCACGTCCCTGCAGCCGCAGGCTGTGTTCCTGCTGGTGCAGGTCCCTCTCATCCTTCACACTTGGACCTCTCATAATACAAGGGCTAGAGTTCCAATTTTGAACAACTAAGGGTATGATGGAAGATGGGTATAATTTTTTATTCTGGTGTCAACCTTAGGGGGATTTTTTTTGTTGTTGTTCCTTCTAAAATTAACTAAAGAATTACATAAATGAAATCTCCAAAGTTAGAAGGAAAAATGGAATTGTCAGTGAATGGTTCAGTTTTAACACAGAGATAAACAGTAGAAGTCAACAAGATTGCAAAAAATTCTCTTATTTTTTTGTTTGTTTTGATTTGTTTTATTTTCCAGAGCTTCAGCAATCAATGATGAATTTTAGTTTTCTTTCTTTTCTTTTTGATAACTTTGATCAAACTGTGTGTATAAATAAAATTCTAACCTTAAGAAACTCTTTTTCCGCTGCTCTCACCGAAACACGGATGCATCAGTTTCTCTCCATTTCTGAATACTTCAGCTGAGCGTTGTCTTAAGACCTCAATACTCATCCAAGTATAAGATCTATGTGAGGCACCATACTCGACCAGAGCAACCATCCCATGTTCTTGTGTACGTATATGTATGGTGTTTCACTTTTTTTAACAGAAGAAGACATGTCCTCTTAGTAATACCAGCTGTGTCACATCGCTCAAAGGAGAAGTGGGAGGTTTCAAAAATCAGAAAGTAGCAGAAAAGAGAGGCCTGGGGATTGCTTTTGTTCATATTACAAAAGCATCCTGGATAGAAAAATATCAGTGAAAATATGGTCTCATTCCACCTAGCCAACTTCTTTCTTTTTTCTGATGCTCCAGTTTTTGAGTTGGTGTTGCTGGTATAGGCTCTTCAAGGACAAAGCCAGCTCCAGGCATTACTTGGATGTCACCATCTTCCCTTCCTTCCCCGTAAGTGCACAGCTTGATTTCAAACTGGGATGAACAGGATTCAGGGTTTTGATTGCATACTATAACATTTTTCAGTGGACCAGTTCAGGCTGCTGGACCACCAGTGGCTGAAACATCTACTGTGGTTTTCAAAACTTTTGAAGTTATTTTTCAGTAAATGGCAGTGTAAAAAATTAATTCAGAGATTTTTATGAACTTCCCAGCAGGCAAATTAATAATCCTCTGCACTAAAGTTCAGCATAGAAAGCATCAGGCTCAGAGAGAGTATATGGAAACCAAGATGTTTTAATAGAAATCTGCGTTTAACCTTATATATAAGCACTTGACATCAGCAAAATCTGTGCTTTATTAAATAATCTATTGTTTTCATCCAAACTCTCTTCAATCCCCTTCTCTTTATTTTCTTCTTCCCTCTTTCTTCCTACAGTGTAGTTGTATTGTTGTAAAGCACACAGACAGAACCAGCACCCGTTTTTCCCACCCATTGTCTGTGCATTTGTGCACTGGATCTTTCTTCTGCCGTTTCTACCGTGAGCAGCAGTGAAAGCCTAGCTCAGATCATGCGGTGGTACATGCTTTTTCAAGCTTAGCTACTGCTTGCCTATTCAAATAGCCAGAAGCCTGGCAGAGCAGAGCTGGTTTTATTTGTTGAGTCTTGTCTAGCGAAGTGAAAAGGGCTTAATTTTTTTTTTTTTTTTTTTTTTTTTTTTTTTTTTTTTTTTTTTGGCTGCATTTTTGCACATGTGGGGGTAGGGAATGAAATTATTTCTTTTGTCCTCGACTTGCAGCTCATTGAGAAGCAGGCATGCATATAAAATTACTATATCTCAGGGCTTACCTTTAGGGACAGAAGGGAGAAAAAACAAATTTGTAAGCTTGTCTGGAAACACTGAGGATGCTGAGAGCAGACACAGAAGTGGGAGGTAACAGAATAATAAAACACAACAAACAGAGGACTAGCAAAACCCTTTCAAATGAATATAATGACAGTTTTATTTTGTCCCTTCTAAGAAATACCACATTACTGGATGTATCAAGGGGGCAAAAAAATTGTTGTGTCGGTGCGTCCAAGACACAAGAGCATCAAAACATAGAAGTACAGCTTTGAAAAATCACCGTGAAAAATATGTACCAAAGATCCACTGGGTTTTTTTCTAGATATTAAATTATACCTGCAGATAAAGAGAAGTTATCTTGAGGAGTCACCTTCAGGGATGGGGGGGTGAAATACAATCCTGTTTCTATCTCGATTTAGTTTACACCCAAGGGGATCAATGGATACTAAGCTCCATTTCAGCTTTCAAGGAGTTTTTGTGGGATTTTTAACTACATATTTTAAACTAACCATCCCGCACTCAGATGGCAAAGCTACAGTCTCCGTCAGTTCTGCAGCTCGTGTTACTGTCTGTAAACTCTACTTTGGGTAACATTAATGGTTCGTATGATTTGTGGTGGTTTTAATTACTGGTGAGTATAAGCAGTAGTGTGGTTTTCTTGTCATTTGAAGCATCGGGTTTGGGTTGGCTGGCCAGTAATCTGAATTCAGGGTAGCTGTTGTATTCTGGTCTTCTGCATGTTTAGGGTATCTTGGGTGGAGAAAGCAGCAGGTAGGAAAGGAGATTTTCTCTGAATCTGCACCAACATGCTGAAGATCAGTTTGCTTGCAAAGCTAGTTTATATACTCTGAGTACTAAAGAGATGAGATGAATTAATGGAGTTTCTGGAATATATTGTAGTATTATTATTATATATCAGTATGTTCTTGATCCCTAAACTAATGGTTTGTTGAAGTTGCAAACGTTAGATATTAGGCATGAATATGATTTAGTTAGATTACTGAATGAACTCTAAAACAAGCACAAAGAGTTCACCGATATGAAAAGAAGTCTAGTTTGGGGATCCATGGGTTCTAAAATACATTGCTCATTACAGTTGGTCTTCCATACTACACATGCAAAGTCAGAGCTGTGAAATGAGTAATTTACAGAAATTTTTAAAACCTTTTATTTGACCCACAACCTAATAATCTATATTAAACTCTTAGGAAAAAAAAAAATCTTTACAAGTTTTAATTTCAGCTTGAAGCGCTTTGAGAGGTCTACAGACACGCCGATGCCATTGTGCAACTCTTCAGCTTGCATTTAAACAAAGCTGTCGGTGGTATTTTATATATGTATATTGAGTATAGCTATCTTTCTGACAGAAATTACACAGGCCACAGAATTTGAATGTTATTTTGAAACTTTCAGCAAAGCAAGGAATCTGAACTGTGGCCTCGGAGATAGAAGTTTGAAGTCATCTAACTTCACTGTAGGGCCTTTCGTGCAGTTCTTCCCTCCAAACTCTGTACTTAGCTGACCTAATTTAAAAAGGATTAAAAATGTTCATCCGCTGTATAAACTGTTGTGAAGGGAAGAGCAGGGCTGGGGACAAGCTATGAAAGCTGAAAATTGTGAAAGACAATGAAAGCAGAAAAGCACATTCTCATAACGGGATAACTTTCGCTTGACTGGAAGGCATGGGTGCAAAAGCTGGTCATGGAGCCAATAGGCACAGAAATTTGGATTTTGGTTAACAGTGTATAATTCTAACGGCTTAATGAACGTTAAGTAGTATTTTACTCTCAGTCTGAGGGTAAAGACTAGCTGCCTTTAAGTAAGGATGGCAAAATCTGCCTTTCAATGTATTTGGTTTGGGGATGAGAGATGGCAAGATGCAGTCCATGCAATCCACCTGCAGTCCATGAAAATGTGCATGCTGTAGAAAACTTATTATGGTTTATTGCCCTGATGGTTAGTATACTGTCTCTCCATATTTTCAGAATTTATCAATTCATATTTTTTAAAAAATGCAATTTCCTTTAAGTCTTCATTTCTTGAGATGGAGGAGCAGGATAAACTCAAACAATTGAAAGAATGAAAAGAAACATCACAGTTCTTTAAAAGTCATGCGATTTATGTTTCCTGAATGCTGAGTTTATTAGTAATGCTCATAACTATAAATGTATTGGTTCTTAAGTGCTTGAGTTCTATAAAAAATGCAAGATAGACTAAATTAGTCTCACAGAGCAAAAAGTCATTAAGGAAAAGGTAGGTGTTTCATTCCTTCTGTATCCTGTTTTATGATGGTAGCGTTGAGGTTCCTTGTTGTTTTCCTAAGTCTTTGGATATTATTTTATTCTATTAAGTTTATATACTAAAATACATTAATATTTCTGGTTAGCATATGTATTTAAAAAAATTTCATACTCCAACTTATTTAAATTGCGTCCAAAAGTAAGCATTACACTGTTCATAAATACCTAATAATAGGCAATAATATCCTCCACTTCAAAAAGCATAATCTGGTACTGCAAAGTATACTGTAAGAAGCGATGTTTTTAACGAATAGTCATGTTAATTGGTTTCCAGAGATCTTTCACACAGAGTGTATCTTACATTCCCTTTTGGTATTCAGTGTCTCTTCTGCTTTAAATTTCAGTAGAAGTGATCTTATTCATTCAGAGAAAGTTTTGATCTATCGCGTCGCATCCTTTGATTTGCAGCTTGATAGTATCAATCAACTGAGCTTTGGAGAAAGCTCTGTTCAGTTTCTAAAGTAAAAAAATCTGTACAGAGTTTTGATTAAATACTTTTGGAGAAAAGTGGGCTAAATAAGTATTTTACATTCACCTTTAAACTGCATATGCAGGAAAGCTGATTTTGTAGTGAACAAAAAATGTAGTATTTTTTTCCTGTTTCAGTGTTTCAGAAACTTTATGCAGCTTTGTACTGGTTTTGATGAGTGTACATCACTTCAAAATGAAGTCTGTTTCTTGAATTGTTTCAGAAGTACCAAGAATATTCACTAATCAGAAGCAGAATTAATTAAAAACTGTTCTCTTCACTCTTGCATTGTGTCTGGCTTTCTGTGGACTTAATTAAAATACTCAAGTGATCTCAAATTTATTTGTTTTATTTTTTCTTACCTTCAGAACCAACATACATCACAATAGGTCCACCCACCTGTGAGATTTTGGTGAACTGCACTTTGACTGAAAAAGACTGTATCTATAGTTTCAAACTGGACCAAAACGGTTGCCGCATTTGTCAGTGCAAAACTAGTGAGTATGCAAAAATACGGTGGCTTCTACCTTTTATATCAAGCTGTATGTGAAAACGCTAGGATGCTGGTTTTTCTGTTCATGATGTTCATTAGATGTTGTGTTGGTATGCGTGTGCTTTATAGTTCTTCATTTTTGAAGGATCGGTTCCTGATCTCTGACACGACTTGTTTGCTTGCTTACAATGTGTTTGGAGGAAAACATAAAATGTCTGACTTCAGGTGAAAATTTAACAGCTAGGTAGAAAAGGTAATAATTTGGGACTTAATCTTTGTTCAGACTTCAAGAAGGCTGATAAGACTTCCACATTTCATTTTTCTCTGTGTATGTAAAGAGTTTAAGAGCATCTAGGTTTGTGCACTTTCAAAAACTCCTGTTGCTCACCAGCCTATTTTCAACTTAACTTTTTTTCCTCAGAACTTAGGTTTTGAGGATAAATGTTTGAAAATTATGTGCCTTGAGGGTATTTGTATATATACAAACATATCCATATATAATTTTATTTCTATAACATATTCTTATAGTTACATTTTTTTATACTTATATAATGCTTTAGTTAGGACTTACGCAGGCTCTAACATCTATTTCTTCCCCAAGGAAAATCACTGTGCGTTGTCAGAATTTTGTGTGTATCAGTGAAGCAGCAAAAATGTATTTTCTCAATGTGTTTCCATAAGAATTCCATGTTTACAGGTGAAACATAAAGCAAGGTCAGGCCAGTTGTTGGAATTGCCCAAGAAAGGACACCCCTGGGGTACCAGGCTCAGCTGCAGGATGCAGCACTCTGGCTGCCAGCCCAGCCTAGGAGTGAGCTTAAACTTTCTGTAATTTTATTGTAGTTCTGCAGCTTCCTTGTAGCCTCTGAGGCTTTTACAACTGAAGTATTGCTCTGTTCCTCCTCTTTAATTTCAGTGCACCCGTTCTCGGCCACTTTCTAAACTGATACGACTATCTTAGGGGTCCTCAGTAGAAATAGTCAAAATAAAACTCCTAATCAGCACAAACTAAAGCATTTTAGGCTTGGATTGGTGTTTTGCTTAAGGAGCAAGGAAAGAGTTTGTCCTGGATTTTTTTAACATTTTTTTCTGGGGAAATGTTCATTTTTTATTTCCATAAGGTAAAGGACAGGACTTCTTAATAACAATCAGATATATAGCAAGCAATAATGTCATTATGGTAATACAGAAATAATACCTTTGATTACAAGTTGTATTTGTGGCAAGGACGACTTTCCATAGATTGCATCCAAGCTATCACACATGCCTGCCTTACTTAGTTCTTCTGAAGGACAAAATTAGAAATGTTAAGTTCTGCTTTTAACATTGTGGTTTGATTTTCCTTCTTTTTTTACGGTTGGTAAATTGATTGGGGAGTTTGACACAAACAAGAAGATGGACATACTCGGCAGATTTCATCATCTGTGCCTGTGCGTGCAGTCCTTCCCTCCAGTTTGGTGCACAGGAGACCCATCACTCCAAAGGATGTCTTTTGTCCTAGATTGCCAGATTGCACGCATACACATAGCGCATCCCAGGAAGTCTCCGTTCTTGCTTGGAGTGTTTCTGATTAAATAGTACTTAAGGACCTATTCAAGGGAATTTTTCTCTTGCCAGATTGCTTGAAATTATTTTCATTTTGCAGTAGCAAACTGTCTGGAGCAAACTTAATAGTATCATTTGTCTGTCATCTTTTTTTTCAGTTAAATAACTTGAATTGTAGATTACTTAAAAATCTCCTCAATCATTCAGAGAAGGGAAACCTTTATTTTCTAAAGAAGTGAAGAAAAACAACAGCTTGGAAGTCTTCATCACTTGGTGCTTATCAGTCAAAATGACAGAAACAGAATTTTTTTTCTGTCAAGTAATGTCTCTCGCTTGCAAGCCTCTGGACAAATGAGTGTATGAGCACTGAGAAGAAAGGAGTTCTAGGTCAAATATGCTGAAAACATACTGTGCTAGTTCTCTACGTATTTTCATGTCCAAACCAGTTTACTTGCATCTTGGCTGTCTAAGAATGTGAGAATGTATGTTATCTTTAGCTCATGTAGACCCATGTGGACTTTTGAGAACATCACTGTCTTCATACTGCACCCACTTGTTTCATGCTGGTCTAAGCTGTTGGACTGGGTCAGGTTAAGTGCCTGAGTCAAGGAGGCCCACACGGCCCCCATTACCATTGAATTCGTCATAGCCTAATGCTGCTAATCTCTTTCCAATAAAGTTTCCTTTTTTGCTAATTTCTTTAGAGATCTCTGCTGAAGATTCATTACACTGCAATCTATTCCAGCCAAAATAAAAGCAAAATGACAAAATGGAAGAACATAAAGTAAAGCTGTAAATTGTTCCTCATTTTTACCTTCATTTACATCCCTGTAGCCAGAAATCAGCCGGTTTATTGGAAATAATTATTTAAGTATGATGTCATGAAACTTGTTTGGTGCTTTATTGTAATTTAGTTTCAAGTTTATCTAGCTTGACTCAAGCCAGCCTACAGAATGAGAAGGAAGAAAGAAGCAAATCGTAACATTTCTAGAATATGATTTTAATAGAAGTAGTTTACCTTGTCCTCCATCCTTCTTCCTCTTTTTGCAGTGAACACAAAAATAATGCTGTAACAACATGCAGTGAAAACATACATGCTGTAAAGTGAAATAAAATTTTGGGGGGGGAGGGCGGGGGGAAGCAGAGGCAGACCACAGTTGTAAGAGAAGGGAGAAAAAAACTACCACTGAGCAAGAGTGAGCAGATATAGATACGTGGCGGGGGGGAGTTCCAGTGAGTAGAGATGGAACCATAAATGATGAGGGAGAAGGAATGATCATACTGACCGGGAGCATATAGAAGCCAAAGCAGCACTACATGAGGATAAAAGGAGAAAAGTATACTCCAGGATATAGGAAGAACCCCTGCAAAATACCAAGAATAAAACTAAAACAGTAGGAAAAACATGAAGTGCATTACCAAAAAAAAAAAAAAAAAAAAAGAAAAAATTAAGAAGATACAAGATGACACAAAAACAAGAAACAAGTAGAAAAATGTAAATAGCAAAAAAAAATTGTTACTTGTAGAGTGCAGCAATCGCTATTGTGCTTGGGGTGCCCAGGCCTTTGCTTTCATAGGGGGAAGTGGAGTGGATTAAAGTCTTCAAAGGAGGAGCACGTTAGGGGACTGAAACAAGACCAGCGGTCGGCTCTTTGTGAAGCAGGGCTCCTGTTGCTCCAGAGAGGACTAACAGGCACGTTGAATAATGCCTGCTGATTGCAGTAACATAGGATTTAAAATCTGATCGCTGTTGCTGGACACTAAATCATTCTGCAGTGAGGCACAGTATTTTATTTGGCTTTGTCTATCCCCTGTATTATATTCATGGGGGAAAAAAAAAAAAAAGCCTTTAAAAATCTCTCCTGCAATTTAGACTATCGCGTTTTATCCCAAATTAATTGAATGTGAAGTATGGTTCAAGGTATGACTGTGAGCATGTATGGCTTTAGTACTTTCTAACCTTTCAAATCTTGCTAAAATGGAATTACATTAGAGCATTGCTGTCAATTTAAAAAACGGTTTGCTTCATTTAGAAGGCTTACCTTTGTAGTTACAAGATGCAGTTGGCACGCAATTTCACTAATTCCAGACTGCTTATGGAAAGAGGCAATTCCTCTTTCCATAGAAGGCTGAGACGAGTTGTTCTCCCTGCACATCATAGTGCACCATCATCCAGTTCGTGTCATGTTCTCTTTTGCCTGTCAAAGCAAACCATGAAATCAGTATTCAAAAATTAGAAATCTTGGTATATTATGTGTTTGCACAGTTCTCTAGGCATAAACCCACCCCTTTCCCCCAAAGACATTCTGTACAGGTACAGAAATATTTTTGGAAGAGAGTTGACACCTTTTCCTTAAATGAGAAGAAAATGTATTCTACCATGGAGATGAAAAGGAGGTACTGTACTAGCAGACATCTGCAGCATTGACTTCAATATTCTGGCGAGTCGCACCGTCTCCCTTTATAGCTGATGAAGCAGAGTGGAATTCCGATGTGGAATTTGGGTTTGGCAGTGTGGGACTTGGTTTAGTTGTGTAGACGTTCAAAGGCAGGATGGGAAGGTTTGAGCAAAGTTAGATAGATGCATTTACGGGCAGTCTATAAATAGCAGCAGTTAAGGCTCTGAAACAGTCTATGGAGTGATGATGAGAAAAAAACTAAGAAACGCTTTGCAGGGACTGCAACGGGGGGATACATCTCAACTCCTCTTTTCTATATGTTAATCATTCAGTAGTTGGAGTTCGGGATGGCTTTTCCTAACCTTTCACTCTTCCTAGCCAAAATTTGAGTATTTCATTCCTTTATTCCTGTAAGTAATCCATACTCAGGGATGTGTTCTGAACTCCTCAAAACTCCCTCACTGTTAATTTTGTCCATTTAAATATGTTTATTTTGATGTCAAGCTAGGGTGGAATAAATAATCACAATAATCACACAAAGCGTACACCTCAGACAATGCAAAATTCCTGGAAATAGTAAAATATAAATTACGTAACACTTTTCTATTTTGGTAACAATTATCTCCCATCGTTACCTTCATTTAGCAGCAAATTCCATAGCAAAAAAATCGTAGAAACAAAGACAGTCCAGGTAGTCTCCCTTAGTGCAAGGAGAGTGCGTCTTGGATTTTCGAATAGTTTTGCAGACCTGGCAGAAAAAGGATGTTTTATTACCCTTCTGCAGTGATGTGAAAGCTATTAATATATTAGACATCAGTTAGTGAAATGCAGCCAGGGACAATTGGGGATGAAGCATGTTTCTTAAAAATTTAAGGCTCAGCTCAGAAAAGTACATAGTAGAATAGAAATATTAACTCTAAGTACACACGTGGAAGATAGTGGAAGTGCTCCCTGAGGAGGGTGGAATTATGATGAGCTAACTACTCATGCCAAATAAATATTATCTGTCTACTCACTAGAAGAAAAGTCTTCGGCGGGGATCTCTGAAGATTACAACAAT